ATGCAAGGCAAGCGCTCTACCACTGAGCCACCTTCCCAGCCCCTGAGTAGTTTTATTTTTTTTGTCAGTGGTGGGGCTTGAACTCTGGGCCTGGGCGTTGTCCCTCAGCTCTTCAGCTCAAGGCAAGCGCTCTACCACTGAGCCACCTTCCCAGCCCCAATGCCAGAAACTTTGAAATTGGCTGCCTTGGGTCACATGATCAAAAAGATGGCGGTTTATTTTTGTTTCTTTGTTGTTGTTTTGTCAGTCATGGGGCCTGAACTCTGGGCCTGGGCGCTGTCCCTCAGCTCTTCAGCTCAAGGCTAGCGCTCTACCACTTAAGCCACAGGGCCACTTCCAGCTTTTTCTGCTTAATGTGATGCTGAGGAATCAAACTCGGGGCCTCATGCATGCAAGACAAGCATTCCACCACTGAGCCACCTTCCCAGCCCCCGTGTTTTTGTCCTTTTGATTGGTAACCTCCCTAGAGTCCCGGTCAAGCGGGGCACACACCGCCCCGGTACGGTGTCCCAGAGGGAGGAGGGAGAGGAGAGCCGGCAGGCAGAAGTTGCAGTCCTTCCCTGAACTGCTCATTGTGGGGGACCAAACAGGGGCTCCCTCCTCCTGTGAGCCCCTGCCCAGAGAGGCTGCACGGCTATGTCTGCTCCGGGCTGCCACCCCCCCCCCATTTCAAATGCTGCTTCGTAAGCAAGGGGGTTGGCACAGCCATGACTGCAGGACAAGTCTGACTTCAAAGGTCGCGTCAGCTCAGGCCGGTTTTTGCTGCCCTCACTGTGCATTTATTTCCTAATGGTGGGATGCAGAAATCCCAGCAGCAATAGCGCAGGCTCGGGAGCCAGCTGCCCGGGCGAGAGTGGGAATAAGCCACGCAGCCACTTCCCACGGAACAGGATTCTTTTCTTCTATATGTGCCAGTACTGGGGCTTGAACTCAGGGCCTGGACGCTGTCCCTTTTCTTTTTTTTTTTTTTTGGTTGGCGTGGGGCTTAAACTCTGGGCCTGGGCGCTGTCCCTCAGCTCTTCAGCTCAAGGCTAGCGCTCTACCACTTGAGCTACAGCGCCACTTCCGGTTTTCTGGTGATTTATTGGAGATAGGAGTCTCACGGTCTCTCCTGCCCGGGCTGGCTTTGAACCGCAATCCTCAGATCTCAGCCTCCTGAGTAGCTAGGATTACAGGCGTGAGCCACCAGCGCCCGGCCCGCTGTCCCTTTTCTATTTGAGTTATACCTCCACTTCTGGCTTTGGGGTAGTTTAATTGGAGGTAGGTATCTCGTGGACTTTTTTTTGTTGTTGTTGGTCGTGGGGCTTGAACTCTGGGCCTGGGCGCTGTCCCTCAGCTCTTCAGCTCAAGGCAAGCGCTCTACCACTTGAGCCACAGCACCACTTCCAGTTTTCTGAGTGGTTTATTGGAAATAAGAGTCTCACAGACTTTCGTGCCTGGGCTGACTTTGAACCGTGATCCTCAGATCTCAGCCTCCTAAGTAGCTAGGATGACAGGTGGGAGCCACTGGCTCTGGGCTGCTGGTTTGTGTTTCTTTTATTATTTATTCTGAGGGAAGTCAAACATCTTTTCATATGTCCAACATCCTGCAGACAATCAAAAACAGTTTTTCTTAGCTGGCTGCTGGTAGCTCTCGCCTGTCATCCCAGCTACTCAGGAGGCTGGAATCTGAAGATCCAGGATTGAAGCCAGCCTGAGCAGGAACGTCTGTGACCACACTCTTATCTCCAATGAACCACCAAAAAGTTGGAAGTGGAGCTGTGGCCTAAGTGTTAAAATGCTAGCATTGAGCACAATAACACCCAAGTCCAGAGTTCAAGCCCTAGGACTGGAACACACACACACACACACACACACACACACACACACATCTTAAAAAAATAGCTGAGAACTGGTTGTGTGGCTCTGTGGCAGACACTTTTCTAACATGTATGAAGCCCCAATTCCACCCTCAACATACACAGAAAGTTTTTACTGGCTGTGCAGAGGTCTTCAGAGGCTAAACACGAATGTGATTGGAAGGGCAATACTGGGGTCTGAACCCAGGGCCTCCTTGGCCGCTATGTGAGCCACGCCCCCCATGCTTGGGCCGGCCCCCGACCCCTGCTTGTTCTTTCCATAACTGGGCTCAGTCTGCCAGTCTTGGCTGTTCCCGCTGTGGTTTTCCAGCCGGCAGGAGGAGGAGGGGGTGCTCTCAGGGACAGTTGTCAGGTTTGGGGGGTGGAGGATGGGAAGCTGTGCAGGGGTGAGGCATGAGGCAAACCTGCCACACAGTTCTCAACACGTCCTGTGCGTGCGTCACTGGCAGACAAGGGTGGGACACTGTCGCTTTAATAACAGAAAAATCTCTTCTGAAAAGGAAGGCTGTGGGGTTTTCCTTGTTTGTCTTAACCATCCACAATAATATACAAACTTGCGGGTTGAAAAAGTTACAGTGATGTGTCATAGGGAGTGAAGCTTCATGCGATCCAACCTTTTCTCTGTGTGTGTGTGTGTATGTGTGTGTGTGTGTGTGTGTGTGGTGTGTATGCACACATACACGTGTCTGCGTGTTTGCTCAAGGCTGGCACTCTACCATTTGAGCCACAGCTCCATCTCTGGCTTTTTATTTGCCGGTTAATTGGAGGCGCTCAGATTTGTCTGCTCAGGCTGGCTTTGAACCAGGATCCTCAGATCTTAGCCTCCTGGGTAGCTAGAACAACAGACATAAACCATTGGCACGTGGCTTCCAGCCCCTTCTAACCTACCCTCAGTATATGTGGCTTAGCTTGAGCTGCACTCCTCTACCATCCATGTCCCCAGATAGCACATTTAACAAG